GTAGTTATATATCGTATTACATCATCTGCCCAAAACATTTAATTTAATTAATGAAAGTGATATTTTGATTAATCATTATAAATAATTAGTAGTTGATAGTTGAACCATTAGAGCTGTTAACAACGTACTTAGGTTTATTAAAATAATATGATACTATAAATGATGTACTACTCCCTTAATAAAATCAAGGTTTAAATAAAAAAAATCACAAAATATCAAAATATTTAATTTGATATATATATATATATATATATATATATATATATATATATATATATATATATATATATATATATATATATATATATATCATCTTGAACTTTATTGACAATAAACACATCTTCATGTGCGCATTTTACTAAAGTTGTCTACATTTTGGTCTCATTATATTTGGCTGATGTGATTTTTCTACACGTTGATTTATATATATATACTTTAATTAATTGTTATACAAATAAAATTGAATTAATTCCATTGACTAAGCAGAAAATAATAATAATAAATAAATAAATAAAGAATTGTATTATGCATATGTCCGCATCCTTTTGTTGGTACGTATCAAATTGATAAAATGAAACTTAGTATACCCTACTTAATTCAAATTTAATTTCAAGTTGGTTGGTATGCTGTCCCATTCTTTATCAAGTAAAAATAAAGTAGGGGTGAGCAAAAAAACCGAAAAACCGAAAAACCGAACCGAAAACCGAAAAAACCGAGCCGATATGTACCGTCCCGACTTAAAACCGCATACACAGTAAAAATCTTTTGAAAAACCGAAAATATCGGTTTGTGTATGGAGAATTTAAAAATTACCGAACCGATTTCCCGAACCGAACCGATTTATACAAAATGATGTATTTTTATATATATTATAAATACTTACCCTAGCGTGCCTCTATCTTTCGACCGCCTCCATGTAACATCGTTTTTTATTAATTAATTTTGGTTGTGACGTATTTTTTATTAGTTAGTTTTCGGTTGTTATTTGTTAATTTTCTCAAATAAATATAATGAAAGTCCAAATATATGGGTTTTATGCCGAACCGGTTCGAACAAATAGACGAAATCGAAACCGAAAATAAACCGAATTGATACCGAAACCGTTAACCGAAAACCGAAAAACCGATTCACACCGAACCGAAAAAAACCGACATATTCGGTTTTTTAAATATGAAAAACCGATATTATCGGTACGTGTTTGGTTTATTGGAAAAACCGAGCCGTACCGACCCGTGCACACCCCTAAAATAAAGTGCAATATTTTATTTATTAATTAAATAAATAAATAAAAATTAGATTTTTTTTTTTTAAATATTTGAAATTTGGGTCGGGTTTGCTTGGCCTGCAGGTGACTCCATTATCAAAGACCTACACAATCTTGTTATAAATTATTCAAATTCTAAACACATATTTATGTATATATTTATTTAGTAACACACTTCTAATTCATTTTTAATTATTTTTTTTTATTAAAGTTGGAGGAATCAAAGTCATGAATTTTACCTAAACTCTTAGATATATTTATCAAATATATATTAATTAAAGACTGTAAAGATGGTCTTGTATAGGCATGAAAGTCATATTTTTCGCCAAAAAGAATATTGATAATGTGTATCAATTAATGTAAAGTGCTTTATTAAAACTTTATAGTTTGACAAAAAAATAAAAAAAAATAATGTATTTTCTATAATTATATTAAACTTTATAGTTTGAAATAAGATGCTAAATTAAATTATTTACCAAAACATTAAGATAAATTTTGAATTGTGTAAAATCAATTAAACTATAAAAAAAATCGTACTAAATCATTAACAATCAATAGACTTAAGTCAAATCGAATTCTCTTAAAATTTTAAATTAAAAAGTTAAAAAATCGAAACCAATCGTAAATCGTTAGAGTTTGACAACCTTGTTTATACACACTGATTTTATTTATAATTCCATTGATTTTAAATTCAACCAAAATTCATATTTGATGTGGATGCACCTATTAGGCAAAGGGATCCACGAGCTAGGACGTCGGTATTATCGTAGGTAGATAACAAATTTCTTTTTTTTTTTTTTTTTTGAGGAAAAAATGCGATTTTATTAGGCTATACTAGCCAAATCCGAACGCAAAACAAGGCCCTCATTACAGCTCGAGTCATAGTTTGTTGCCAGAGCGTGGGCAAGCATATTGCCCGAACGCTTAACAAAAGAAAATGAACAAGAATTAAAATATCTAGCAATACGATGGCCTTCTTCGACAAACGCTCCATAAGAGGTATGCGACTGGGATATATCCTGCAGGGTGTTGATAACTTGAAGTCGATCACTACCGTTGCCACACTCATATTCTTGGCCTTCACTAATGCAAACAATGCAGCATGTGCCTCGCCCTCGATAGGTAGTGGACGACCTAGAATCTTCTTAGTACTCCACCATAGACATTTCCCATTGTAATCTCTAGCAATATTTGCCATGACATAGTGATTTCCACCCCGTGGAAAAGCTACGTCGAAATTTACTTTCACACAGCCGAACTCAGGCGGTTTCCAAGAAGCCGGGTGGAAGGGTATTATACCATGTAAGTCCTTGGTACATATCTGTTGGAACGTCGAGAGGTAATTCCTGCACCAATTCACAAGATCACCCAGCAAAATATGTTTCTCTCCATGAAGTTTCTTATTCCGTAATTCCCAAATCTTCCACATCACCATCACCGCTAAGCTAAACTCTGTCGGCTCCAATTTTTTATGCAATAATTCTATCCATAGCCAGCCCGTAGTTGGATTAGTGTCTTCAATAATATCAAAAGGTGGGCGTCTCCAAATAGCCTTGATTCTGCAGCAAGAAATCAAGGCATGCAAGCTCGTTTCCTCGACACCGCATCCCTCTGGACAAAAAGGTTCTGCCATAATTTTCCGACGAAAAAGTTCGACTTTCGTGGGCAATATATTTGAGCAGAATCGCCAAAGAAAAATTTTGGCTTTCGGGGGTATCGGGAAATTCCACACAAGTTTCCACCTTTGGCTCGTCGTTCCACTAGCAGCTCCGCCACCAGCCATTATTTCCGGCATCCTTGTGACAAGCATGTGATAGCAAGATTTAACCGAAAACTTCCCATCTTTAGTTTCATGCCACATCCATGCCACTACCAAGTTACCAATTGGAAGCGCCAAAATC